TGCACGGTAGGTTCCCTGGACAAAGCGCTCAGGGGAGATGTGGTCCAGCAGCTTTTCTAAACCAGAGACTGTTTAATTAAAATGAAAGATTGTTCTGTGGAAACCAAAACTTTTTCATGAAAATCTTCATTTTGGTGAAAGACACATTTTCCATCTCTACCCCGCTTTGATGGAACATTTTCGACCAACCCCGATTGTTAGCTTATCTGAACAACTGATTTATAAAGTAAGGCTCGGGTTCCCTTGACCTGACACCAGCAGATGGGCACCTCCACTGCAAATAATGAGAACCCAGCACTGATGGGGCTGCAGCCCTACTCAGAGCTCAGGGTCGATCCTTGAACTGGGTAGATCTGGGAAATCTTCCATAGAAGACAGAGGATGGTTTCTCTGAGGGCTCTGGGATCCCTTTCACTGATGATTATGAGGACCTGGGTTTCAGCCAGACATGAGCAGTTTCTGCCAATGATGAGAGACTATCATTTTACCTCAGAGTATGACAAGGAAAGCCAGCCCACCAGCAGCACACAGTCCAATAGCAGAGCAGCCTTACCACAAAAAGCCTCGCTCCTCCATGGGGAGATGGTGATGTTGGCTCTCTGGCAGGCGGCTGCGTATGTCTGAATGGACTCGCACAGGGCACTGCCAGCCCCTCCTGACACACACAGGTCAAAGATGCAATCAGACAGATAGGGGCCTGGCTCAACCTGGGAGTGGCAGGAGGAGAACGGCCCGTCAGGATCCTGGATCACCCAGCACTGGGACTTGGACTGCACCAGACTCTCCTCATCTTCACACACAGGGCAGGAATCGCGGCAGCCATCGTCACAGCCAGGGACAGCCTCCGACTTCCAGTCCGCAGCAAAGTGGAAGGCGTCCTTCCCTAGGGAGCCGTTATGGGTCACAAAGTCGTCCTGAGCGGCCCCATTGAAGTTCCCACACAGGCCGCAGGTCTGGCCTCGGTACTCTGGGGGCAGGCTGACAAAGAGGCTGTGGGCCAGATCGTAGCTCACGTTCAGCCCAGAGTCGGCTTGCACAACCGTATGAAACCCAGCCTGATAAACGAGGATTCCGCTTCTCTGGAGATGCACTGGGAGACTCAGAGTCACCCCGTTAACCTGAGTGAGGGCAAACAGCACCAAAGAGATCAACATAGGAAATGTCCTATTCATAGACAGGGACATTTTGAACATCTAGTCTGATCTCCAACAGGATCCAGGCCAGACAGCTTCCCTCAGCGGAGGGAATTATTCTTCTCTACCACATAAACGACACCAGCAAGCCTGATACCTACCATGATGACTTTTGGGCAATGTTTTTAGGGTCCATCTCAGTATATCTCAGTTTACCCACTGACTGATTTTTACCCACTCTGTGGATAGGGGTTCAACTGCTTTCCATGGAAAGGAAGGATGTCTTTGGGTCAGGTGGGCTGCCTCAACTGGACTCTCATGCTGTCCAGATCTGAATGGGCTCAACACATATTAATGGAGAGCCCTGCATTGACAGAGCTAGGAGAGAGCCAGGGACATTAACATCTAACAACTGAAGGCCCAGAACAAGTGAGCACCCAAACTCTTTGCAGGGGAGCAGACTAAGGCCACAGCTACACTAGTGAAGAGACTCTAAACCAAGGGTACAGACATCTCCAGTCAACTTCATTGTTCCCCCTCCCATGAGAGGAGATAGCTCCTCCCCATAGCACTGTTACACTGGTGCTTACATCAGTGTAGCATGGGAGTAATTCACACCCCAGAGCGATGCAATTTATACTGAAGTGAGTTGCAATTTCGACAAGCCCCAAGCAGGAGAAGGAAAGAATGTAGCACCACTCACCACAGGGAGCCTCTGAGAAGGACAAAGAAGCAAAGATGGAGACAGACTCAAGGAGCTGGGAAACGGGACAGCTGCAAATTTTTTGCATTGCTCTCTGAGGAGGAGTCTGATTATGGAAGCAACCTAGCTGTTTGTGACAAAGCTAAGGCCTGTGAGAGAAAGGGGGAGGAGGGGCAGGTATTCTGGTCAAGGGGCTACACATCTTTCCCAGAGGTACTACCTACACTGGTTTGACCTCTTCTCCCCCCCCCCCCTTGAAGAACAGAGCTAAATAGGCTTAATTAGAAGCCGTTTTCTGATGTTAATGGTGGCAGAGCCCTGTTTGTGACTGGGGGAGTTACAATACCAGGAGCTGGAATCACTTGGGAGAGGCAGCATGGCTGCCCAGCCTGTGGAAGAGATGCATATTCCTAAGAGACTGATGTGCAGCAGTCACAGCCAAGGGTGGGATGGCCGCAGATGGTGACTGCCAGCTGGCAGCAGCAGGGAGCGCCACGAGCAGTTAGCAGGATGGTATCAGTGAACAACTGAGAGGGGCTGTAGCAGAGAGCTGAGTAAGTGAAGGGGACTTTTGGGCTGCTGGACTTAAGTACCTGAGGGGAAAAGGACAACCTCCATGGGCTGGGACTGTTACTCATGGGTCATGTTTATGAACCCCATTTGGGGTGTTTTCCCAAATTAATGACAAGTTACTTTCCTCCCCTTTCACTAAAAGTGTCTTTTCTACACTCAGACTCTGTGCCTGCAAGTGGGGGAGCATTGCCTTTCGGGGTGCTGTCTGAGTTCCCCAAGCCACGGTGTAGGAGCTTGATATGGTTCTGTGATGGATCGATGGAAAAGAACCCCAGGTATTGAACCCAGCCCTGGCTGGTGCTGGGTTTAACAGGCAGAAAGGATATAAGTGTAACACAAATTGCAAAACAAGCAAACCCTATTCTGGGATGTATTACCAGGACTGGTTGTAAGCAAGGCATTAGAGGTCATTCTTGAGCTCTACTCCACATTGCTTAGGTGGATTATTATGTCCAGTTCTGGGTGCCACATTTCTGGAAAGCTGTGAACAATTGAAGAAAATCCAAAGAAAAGTCTAGAATCTAGGAGAGAAGATTGATAATGCTGGGTTTGGTTAGTCTGAAGAAGCAAAGACTGAGAGGGGACATGATGACAGTTTTCAAATATAAAAAAGTTGTTACAAGGAGGATGGAGAAAAATTGTTCTTCTTAACCTCTAAGGATAGGACATGAACCAATAGGCTTAATTGCAGCAAGGAGGTGGGGAAGGGGCAGGGAAGAAAGTGGGTTAGGCTGGACATTAGGAAAAACTTCTTAACTATCAGGGGGTATGCCTACACTACCCTCCTAGTTCGAACTAGCGGGGTAATGTAGGCATACCGCACTTGCAAATGAAGCCCGGGATTTGAATTTCCCGGGCTTCATTTGCATAAGCGGGGAGCCACCATTTTTAAAACCCCGCTTGTTCAAACCCCGTGCAGCGCGGCTACATGGGGCACGAACTAGGTAGTTCGAACTAGGCTTCCTAGTTCGCCCAGTTTATGCAAATGAAGCCCGGGAAATTCAAATCCCGGGCTTCATTTGCAAGTGGGGTATGTCTACACTACCCCGCTAGTTCGAACTAGCGGGGTAGTGTAGACATACCCAGGGTGGTTAACCACTGAAATAAATAGCCTTGGGAGGCTATGGAATCTCCATCATTGGGAGATTTTTAAGAGCAGGTTGGACAAACACCTGTCAAGGACAGTACTCTATATAACAGTCCTGTCATGAGTTCAGGGAATTGGATCGGGTATGTCTACACTACCCCGCTAGTTCGAACTAGCGGGGTAGTGTAGACATACCCAGGGTGGTTAACCACTGAAATAAATAGCCTTGGGAGGCTATGGAATCTCCATCATTGGGAGATTTTTAAGAGCAGGTTGGACAAACACCTGTCAAGGACAGTACTCTATATAACAGTCCTGTCATGAGTTCAGGGAATTGGATCAGATCAGTGTTTCTCAACCTTTTTTTTTTAATAAAGCACCCCTTTTAAAAATATATAAATTACTCCCAGTACCTACAGTTTTCAGACACAAAAATGTTTTTTCTACCATTGCAACACATTTGTTTAAACAATTTAATGATATCAGGGCAGGTAATGACATTTTTGGGTGTAAAAAGTACAAAAATAATAAGGCGTTGTAAACTTAAAACAAAAATTCAGTTTTCTCCAAATTTCAGTTGTGCTTTGTACCTCCCAGACTTCTCTCGAGTACCCCAAGGGTACTCGGACCACTGGTTCAGGAACACTGGATTAGACGATCTCTCAAGATCCCTTCTAATCCTATGATTCTATGAGTAATGTGCCCATAAAGTCTATAATGTACAAATGTGAACATGGGTGAGGATTTTGGGGAGAAACTTACTACAGCCGCACCCCGACTTACGGCCACGGCCACTTATGACCATCCACACTTACGACCAAAGCGGTCGTAAATGCGGAGCCAAGCTACGAACGGCGAGCCGCGCTTACGAACACCACGGTCGCATGTAACTCTATGGGATCCGAGTTACGAACAGTTTGAGTTATAGACCAAGTGTTGGTCCGTAACTCGTTCGTAACTCGGAGAGCGGCTGTATGAGCTGATTTGCATCTCAACTTTAAACCCATACTGTCCCCCTAACTGAGGATTTTAGTTGTAGCCACCTTTAAAGTGGACTAGTAGAGAACAAGGATTGGTTTATTGGGGAAGGTAGGAAATAATGTGGGAAATATTTTTCCAATATAAGTTCTTTAAGTCAATACTTTCCCAGGGAATTACCTGGACTGTCCCGTGCTGACCCCTCTGCAGGTGGATCTCAACTCTGCTCACAAGGACAAACACCTCCGACGTCACAGCCACAGGGACATGGGGCAGGTTTTCATTCTTCACTTCCACTCTGAAGAAGGGCAAGGACTTTGATGCCGCACACAGTTCAGCAAAGACATATCTGCAGGTGCCCTGGAAGTCGTAGCGCTTGCCGTCAAACGTAGTGTAGTGGGGCAGCCCAGACGCCCAGCAGATGCCGTTGGTTCTCTCGTGGCATCCATAAACCCCCCGGCGAGTGCCACAGGATTCCCCGGGAGCACAGGCAGCGCTGGAGCACTGGACAGCGTGGGAGGAGCCATTGCACCTGCACAATCTCTGGCAATTTTCTCCTTCCCAGAAGCTTTCCCCCGCCAGGTGATATCTGCCATTGTGGGTGCAGCCGCACTGCTCCCGAGGCACGCAGTCAGTGCCACTCAGCACAAAGCCAGGGTCACACTGGCACCCTTCTTGGCATGCAGTCCGGCAGCGGGAGGGCACAGCTGGGTGGGCACAAGAGGCCGGGCAGGAAGGTCCACAGAGCTCATAGTGGCTGTTGGGGGGGCAGATTAACTCTGAAAGGGACATGAAGAACCGTGGTTAGAAATACAGAAGGGATACTACAGGAATCCTCCCAGGCAGGAAATGCAGGACAAAGAATGAAAATGGGGATTACAGGAAAGACTGTAATAAAACAGAGCAGGGCAAAAAAAAAAATGGTTATGCGCTTTCTGATAACATCTTTGGGATGTGTTCTCCACATCTATTTTAATTGAGCATGTGCACGGTGGCCAGAAGATTTTCCTATAGCAATGCCCATAGGATCAGCCTGGGCACCACCTGGAGTCACACCTCCATGGTGCCCAATATAGTGCCCTGTCCACCTGTCCCCTCCTCAGTTCCTTCTCACCAGCTACTTCCACAGAAAGGAAGGAGTGCCGGGATTGGAAGAAACATGAACAACACATCTCAAAGAACAACAGTTACAAGAAGGTACATAATTGTTCCTTCTTCGGGTATGTCTAGACTACATGGCTCTGTCGACAGAGCCATGTAGATTAGTTTACTTGAAAAAGGGAAATGAAGCGGTGATTTAAATAAATCAAAATGGCCATCGCGCTGTGCTGATCAGCTGTTTGTCGGCACAGCGCGGCAGTCTAGATGGGGATCTGCCGACCCCAGAACCCTTTGTTGGCAGATCCTGTAAGCTTCGTTTCGTCAATGGAGCCATGTAGTCTAGACACATCCTGTGAGTGCCTGTTCGTGTGTATTCTAATTAGGTGATTCACAAGGAAAAGGCTAGGAGATGGGGTCAGCACAACCACCGATTTAACACCGAGTATCCAAAATGAGGCATTGTCCCTGGCTCTCTGAGTAATCACGTAATTGAGCAGGGGTGAATGCATTTACAGAGAACATTGTATCCGCCCTATAGATTTCTTGAGTGGGAACTTGGGCTAGAAAGGCATCAGAAGAAGCCCATGTCCTATCAGAATGTGTGTGATTGGAGGTGCAGGAACACTCGCTAATTTGTAGCACTCTCAGATTTGGGACGTAATCCATAAAGATATACATTGGGCAGACACCTGCTGATCTGTCTCAGATTGCCACACAAATCTGTACTGATTTACAGATTGGATTTGTTCTCTCAATATAAAAGGCCAGAGTACATCAAGGGAATGCAACTTCTGTTCCCTGGGAGCAGACTGGCTACGTCTAGACTGGCCCCTTCTTCGGAAGAGGCATGCTAATTTCTAACTTTGGAATAGGGAAATCCGCGGGGGATTTAAATATCCCCCGCGGGTTTTAAATAAACATGGCCGCCGCTTTTTTTCCAGCTTGGGGAAAAGCCGGAAAAGAGCGTCCAGACTGGCGTGATCCTCCGGAGTAAAGCCCTTTTCCGGAGGATCTCTTATTCCTACCCTTGCAAGTAGGAATAAGAGATCCTCCAGAAAAGGGCTTTATTCTGGAGGATCGCGCCAGTCTTGACGCTGTTTTCCGGCTTTTCCCAAAGCAGGAAAAAAAGCGGTGGCCATGTTTATTTAAATCCCCCGCGGATTTCCCTATTCTAAAGTTAGAAATTAGCATGCCTCTTCCAAAGAAGGGGCCAGTCTAGATGTAGCCACTGTGTTTTGGGATAGAACACAGGCAGGAAAGTGTCCTGGTTCCAGTGAAATTGTGATACCACCATTGGGAGAAAGGCCAAGTGAGACCTAAGTTGCATAGGCGTGCGCACAGGGTGCGCCGGGTGTGCCCAGGCACACCCTAATTTCTTGGGCTGGCTAGCTGCTGCTGGAGGAGGAGAGGGATTTGTGACAGGATGCCGCAAACCCTCACTTTAATTCCCCGCAACCATATATGGGGCACTGTGGGGCAGAGAGAGTGCATGCATGGCATGCTGAAATGCCACGCAACAGGTAAGAGGGGAGACACCCGGCTGTGGTGTGACGTCACGGCCCGGGACTTTCAAACTGTGTGGCCCAGCTCCACAAGCAGCTGAGGCCCGACTACAAACGAGGACAGACGTGGTGGGAGCTGGTCGTCCAACAGGCCAAAACGTTTGCATGCAATGCATCCATGGGGATACCTGTCTGTACCCCAGAACCTGAGTCCAGGTCCATGATGGGTGGAGGGACGAAACCCTCAAGGTGGCCGTAGCCACAAAGCTAGCCTACCCAGTCTTGTTGGGCAGGGATTGGCCAGGGTATGAATGGTTGTTATGGCAGTGGGGGGAAAAAAGGATCCACAGAACCCTGGCAGCAGATTGCGCCAACAGGGGTGCCGAAGGCTCCATTGGTCCCCCTGCCGGTGGCGGGTATCTCTTTTGAGTGCTTAGTGCTGGACCTGGTGAGGCCGCTTGAACGCTCTGGCAGAGGCCACCAGTACATGTTAGTGGTGCTAGATTATGCCACCCGCTACCTGGAAGGCGTACCCCTGTGTAAAACAATGGCCCCAATAATAGCAGATGAACTGATAAAGATTTTTTCTAGAGTAGGACTGCATGGGGGAGATATTGACGGACCAGGACCCTAATGTGACTTCCTGGCTGATAGCAGAACTGTGCAAGCTGTTACGAATTAAAATGGTAAGGACGTCCGTGTATCACCCCCAAACGGATGGCCTAGTGGAGAGATTTAATAGAACACTAAAGTCAATGTTACGCAGGGTTATTCAGGATGACTCACAAGACAGGGATAAATTATTACTGGCCCTCCTATTTGCCATCCGCGAGGTCCCCCAGGCCTCCACTGAGTACTCTCCCTTCGAGCTCTTGTACGGGCACCACAAGCTTTGACACATACCTGATGCCCCATATAGACAAGCTCCTAGAACAGCTGATGGGCCCAATAGTTGTCAACTATTGACCTTACCAAGGGGTACTGGCAAATATCTTTGTCCCTGGAGTCTAGGGAGAAGACGGCGTTTGCTATGCCTTTCGGATTGTACCAATTCGTTAATACGCCATTCAGACTCCATGGGGCGGCAGCCACTTTCCAAAGGTCCTAAGTGAGCACTGACAATACGCGGTGGCTTACATTGATGATATTATCATTTTTAATACACCCTGGAAACATCATTTACAGCAGATAGAAGCGGTACTCAGAGCACTAGTTCAAGCGGATTAAAAGCCAACCCAAAAAAGTGTTGTTTTGGCAGCCATGAAGAGTCCTACCTTGGATATACGGTGGGAAGAGGACAGTTCAAACCCCTTGTGGACAAAATAAAGGCTATACAAGATTATCCACTCTCAATGAAGAAGAAGCAGGTACGCCAGTTTCTATCTAGGTATTATCTCCAGTTTGTAGCTGATTTTGCGTCAGTGGCGGCCCTGCTAACAGACTTAACAAAGAGTGGACAGCCTCAAAAGGTAAGATGCTCCTAGCAAAACACCCAGGCTTTTCAGACGCTGAAAGAGCATCCAGGTAACGCTCCAGTGTTACTGCAGCCCAATGTTTCAAAACCGTTCATACTGCAGACTGACGCATCCGAGGTAGGACTGGGCGCGGTGCTAGCACAGGAAATAGAGGCAGGGGAACACCCAGTTTTGTATATTAGTTGAAAACTGTTCCCTCAGGAAAAAAACTATGCTACCATAGAAAAAGAGGCTCTAGCGATCAAATGGGCCATAGACGCACTTCGTTATCTTTTAGGAGACCGTTTCTTATTAGTGACAGATCATGTGCCATTGAAGTGGATTCGGACAATAAGGGACACGAATGCCCGAATCATGCACTGGTACTTGACAATGCAACCGTACTGCTTCGAGGTGGTGCACCGACCGGGAGTGGTGCACCAGAATGCAGACTTTTGGTCTCGGATACCGGAGCAAGAAGAGGAACCAGGGGCGAATACAGATGGTATCATAAGGGGGGAGGAGTGTTAAGGTGGTGAGCAACCCCACACTGGACAAAAGTCCCTGGAGTATGGGGGAAGAGGGCTGAGCACCGGGCACCCTCCAGAGGTGGTGGCAGGGGAAACTGACAGGGGCTTGCCAAGGTTGGAGCCCCAGCAGGATGCACGGGAGCACCTAACAGCCGGGGGTCGGGAAAAGGAGGAGCGAGGAGTCCAGAGGACACTGGCGCATGTGCCTCCGAAAGGGAGCGACTGTTGCCAGCGTTTGCACAGCTGCACGGAGTGACATCCCAAAGGGAAGGGGGCGGGGCGAAAGCAGCTGGGGAAACGGAAGGACATGAGCGGGGGCGGGGAGGTTATAAGAGGAGTCCTCCTGACGAGGGAAGGAGAGGACAAGAGGAGGAAGGAACAGGAGCAAAGAGGTAACAACAAAGAGGGACAGGCAACGCTGTCCAGCAATTGTGCCCTGAAAGCCTCCTTTTTTTCCTTTGGGAGTCAGGACTCATAGACTTTAAGGTCAGAAGGGACCATTTTGATCATCTAGTCTGACCCCCTGCACAGTGCAGGCCATAGAATCTCACCCACAGGCGAGTGAGAAGGAATTGAGGAACTGAGCCAGGGTGGGCAGTTAGGAGCCTGCTTGAGGGCTGGTGCATTGTGGCAAATGGCCCCGCCAGCCAGGTGTGCGAGCATGCTCACATGCCTTAGGGCCCTGGGACAGGACCTGGAGAGAAGGTGGGCCCAGGTCTCCCTCAGACCCATACTGGCCCCAGAGGGGCATGGAATTAGAGGCACAAAAAGGACAATTAACCTCAGGCCACTTGGCAGCCGTGGTAGTGAGACTCTGGTGGGACCAGTAACCCTGTGACACCCTCTGCTCTTTATTTCCCACCCCCTTCCATCTTTTTCTTTCCCTCCCGTCTCTTCTCCCCTATTTATTTTGGGTCTGCTCATCCTAAACTCAAAATTCCGGTGATCTGAAGAAGTGGGCTGTGCCCACGAAAGCTCATGATCCCATCTACGTGCTTTGTTAGTCTATAAAGTGCTACCAGACCATTTGCTGTTTTTTAAGTTTATCCTATATAGACTAACTGGGCCCTGAAGCTTCCGAGCAAGGATGAAGCCATCCAGTGCACAGAGACACACAAATCCGCGGATATCCACTTTATATCGATGGATATCTGCATCTGCAGATGAGGCTGTAGATCTCCATGGCTGAATC